TGTTACATCCCCTTCAGATACTCTGCACAGATTGTCAGAGTGAGAGAAGAGGAGAGAGAGATGGAGAGATAAGAGCACACACAGCAAGAGAGACAGGAAGGGAGAGAGAGAGGAGAAGGAGCAGGAAGACAGTGCAGGTGTTCAACCACACTTTGACCACAGGAGACAGGAGGCATTTCTCAGTGCTCATGGCCACTCAGGTTCAGAGGCTTCTCCTCATACTGACACTGGAGCTCTGAAAGTCAGCTTCCTTTCTGACAGGAACAGCCCCTCCTGTTCAGCCCTGAGAGACACTATGAGAGAGCTGTGTAGGGAGAGGACCTGCCACCCTGTACAGCACTGGAGCTTTGAACACATGACTCCTTTTGTGTCCCCCTATACAGCACTAGATCTCTTAACAGTGGGCTCTCCTGTCTCTGTACAGCCTCATCACACTCACACCCACAGCCTCACAGTACAGCCTGGCTTCTTGTCCTGGAAGAGCGCAAAGTTCAGACTCACTGCAGAGTCTGACCTGAGGCTCCAGTAAAGCTCTGCCTTATATCACTGCTGTTAGGCTGTATTAAGAAGGACTGTTTATTTTTAATTCATTATATTGTTGCTTTTTCAAATTTGAAACTGACTCCTGCTCTGCTGCTCCTAATGCTGCAGTTATTACGGTGAAGCTGTAACACAGGAGCTCTGCTATATTGAACAGGAGATTTTTGTAATACAGCATAACTACTAATACCTTTAATAATAATAAGGAGGAGGAGGTGAGCTGTGTCCTCACTCTGTTCAGCCTGGGGGTGTATCAGCTCCACTGTATTTTTAGATAGTCTCAGTCTCTGAGACTATCTAAAATTGAATAACTTGATAATTATTTAAAGTTACATAACTTGTCTAAATCAGAGAAAAGTGCAAATTATTTTTATCTGATCCTTTCCTGCCCCTGCAGCTCCTGCAGCCCTGTTGTTTGTATCTGTATCTCTGTTTCCTCCAGTGAGACACAGAGCTGCACCTGTCTCTCCTCTCCTCTGTGCTGCTGGGAGTGTCTTCAGGGAGAGGAAACAGTGATGTGTCTCTGATATATATGGAGAAGACTGAAAGAGCCCTGTCTTATTGGCCATCCCGCCTGCTGTCAGTCTGAAAAGGCAGTGCTGTGTGTGATTGGCAGGGTGGTGGGCTGTGTTGTTACTGGTGGTCTGGGGTGTGGAGCAGCAGTTCAGTTGCCCTGTGGGCTCAGGGGTGAAGACAGGGGCCTCAGCTGTGCTCTGTCCTGATGACAATGGAGAGCTGCCTGTCACGGACGTCCAAAGGGACTAACCGTGGGGAGCAGGAGAGCAGAAAAAGACCCATATGCCTAGCGGCGAGACGGGAAAAAGGCCCGGGCTCATTAGTGCAAAGAGTTCAGGAATGCCGTATAGAAACCTATGCCCTCAGGGAGCGGACGTGGGGCGCCCTGGTGCTAGGCGGGTCTCA